GAAGGAGAGATCGTGACAGAGATCTACCTAGAACAGAAAAAAGCACTCTGTCTTGATTCCAAGCCACCCCTCAAACGATTTACCTCGGTCCTGGACCCGACACCCACAGATGTACGAGTTTTGTAGAACAAACGCTACTCCTCGAGGAACCCCGTCTCCATTCGGCCAGAACCAGATTTTCCATTGGCCTTCAAGTGCACCGGCGGGGAGGCGTTTTGAGGGGCATTTTCGTGGGGGGGGGGGGGGGGCAGGAGCAGATGACGAGCAGAGCGCAAGAGATCGATCGCGCAGGGGATGATGCAGAAGACTCGAGAGGCCTGATCGAGGTGGCAAAGACAGCGATGTCAGAGTGGCTCCTACTTTCAGCATGCACACTATCTATCTCAACTATTCGGGGTCCTGGTGGTCCTCCAGGTCTCGTCTGGGGCTTGCAAGGCTACAAGAAACATGAGATGAGAGCAAGAAGTGTGACGATCTCCAAAAAAGGCTCGCTGACGGCAAATGGGCTGATGTGGAGAACGTGGTCCATGGGGCGCTTTCTTCTTCTTGCCCTCGTCAACCCAGCATCAATCGCACCCCGACCACAATCCCTATCTCTACCACGTGCGTGTGCAGCTTGCTCCACTCTTCATCGCCACCACTATTATAGAGCGAGCACAACGCTGATGATGATGATGATGATGATGTGCTTGTCCGAGAAAAAGCATCGGAGCCTAGCGGACCCCAGCCAGCGTCCCGCCAGTGGGCGGCGCAGCACGCGCGTCCGGCATCAATGGCCGTTGGTGATACTCTGGCTGGACTTTTGCCGACAATCCAGGCGAGCGCCACGCCGCCTGCGCGCCGAGCACGCTCGGTGCCGATTGCGCGTCGCCGAGTTCGACGCCGTCGCCCGATGAGCGGCGTGACGACGGACGAGTGACCGACGAGCGGCAAGGGCAAGGGCAAGGGCAAGGGCAAGAGCGCAGACTTGTCTCGGCGGTAGCTGCAGGCGATGGCGAGCGATGGCATGCAGCGTCGATCACGGGGAGTATCGGGCGAAGCGATGAACGACAGAGTAGGCAGCAGGGGAGGGAGCAATGGCAGCAGGCCCAGCCCTGCCTCGATGACCGACTTTAACGAGACCCACTACGTGTTCAAGGCCATGGTGGTGTACGCCGTCCTCATCGCCGACGTCGTGGTCAATGCCTTCTACGAGCCTCCCCGCCCCACCCTCCTCGAGGTGCTGGTTGTCTTTATGTACGCCCCGCCCCGCCCCGCCCCGCCCCGCCCCGCCCCCTCCTCTTCCCCGCCATGGCGTCCCATGTCGCGGTTTGGCGCCAACCCCCTCCCCCC